GGAGGAACAGGGGTCAGAGCAAGGAAGCAGAAACAAAGCCCGAGGATGAGAGAGAATTCTGCTGGGGATTATATATTCCCAAGTTTTCACAGGCTTGCACTGAGGTCCATCCTCCTTGCCAATGAAATTTGTTGCCTGTTAGACTGACAGGCAAGTACCTTCCTTACATCACCCCAACTTCACTGTGCATATGCCCATCTCCCCCTTTGTTGGACCCCTTTCCCCATAGATTTGCAAGGGAATAGACCAGTTATTCCCTGCGGAATATAAAGTTGCAGCTTCCTGGTGAAGCTGCCCAGATGACCATGCTTATAATGTCTGGCCTTTACTTTCTTCCTATTATTTTTTTTAATATATTTTATTGATTTTTTTACAGAGAGGAAGGGAGAGGGATAGAGAGTTAGAAACATCGATGAGAGAGAAACATCGATCAGCCGCCTCCTGCACATTCCCCACTGGGGATGTGCCCGCAACCAAGGTACATGCCCTTGATCGGAATCGAACCTGGGACCCTTGAGTCCGCAGGCCGACGCTCTATCCACTGAGCCAAACCGGCCAGGGCTCTTCCTATTATTAATAACTAGCTAATTACAGTGGTAACAATTGCAGTCATGGTCATACCTAGCCCTTGCATGGTGTTCACCATTTACCAAGCGCTGGTCCACTTTTCACATACTGACTCATGGCACCCTTATAGCAATATCCTTGCATTTCCCCCTTTTCATTCATTGAACTCTACTGACTTTAGATATGATCTCTCTTCTTGTATTGTCTCATGTAGCTCTCATGCCCCTCTCCTATATTAGATGCACTTCAAGGCCAATCACCTGTATCCTTTCTGTAGAAATGATCTGCCAGCAATCCCTGTAGAGTGATGTTTACTCATTAGATTATTTTCTTGTGGTTAAATAACACAAATTTCTTTAGCTTTTTATAAAATCTATTTTGTAATTCTTTCATCACTTCTATTGCTCTGTTCCATTTCTTCTACCAGTTGTCGACATCATCTTCCAGTTGTAGAAATGCAAAATGAACTTAATCTGTGTAGTGTTTAAATTGAAAAGAGACTTGTCTAAGTTAAAGCTTGGTGTGCGGATTAACTTTTGGCTCCTGTATTAGCTGTGGATGTGTTGGCAATGAGAACAACACCAGGTGTCAGACTGGTGCAGTCAGACTGGACCTTGGTGCAGCCACCTCGGTGCTTGAGTTCTGCCTGGGAAAGAATCAGAGCCAAGACCCAAACTATAAGAGAAAGCTTATTTAGAAAATCACAGAGGTAGAAAAAGTGAGCAGTAGAAGCAATGGACTCAGGAAACAAGTTACCGAGGCAAAAGAGGGGCTCTTGGAGCTTAGGAGAGAGGAAGGTAATGGTAACACCCTGGGGGAAAGGTGAGGGGGAGGGGAAAGCCACACGTGAACGCTCTAGGGTCCACCTTCCTAAGGGTTTTTAAGGGTGGAGATTTTAGGGAAGGTCCTAGGGGAGGATCTCAATAGAATATTCAGAAGCTTTCTTGGTGTATCCTTTCAGGATCATGGTCTCCACTGATTGGTCAGCGCTAGGACAGGGGATCATTAGTCAATGAGCTGGTCCTGGTATCAGCCTTTGCTTGTCTGGTTTTGCTGCTTTTCTGAGCCTATAGCTGAATGAAACACAACTGAGGCCTCTAGGTGAAAACTGAGACCTAAGTCAGATCAGAACTTCATTGTCCTGGGGGCTTAATACTTAAGAGCTGTTCTCCAGCCTTCCCCCCTCTCCCCCCCTCCCCCCCCCACACACACACACATGACTAGCAACATGCCCGGGGAGAAAAGAAAGATCCAAACCTCATGACCAGCAATATGAAAAGTCAGGGGATCTAAATTGAGTCACCAGCGATATGCTAGGGGAGGAAAGGTTACCCAGGGGGTGAGGTCCTTGTTTTCAAAGTTTTGCCTGTTACTAGGCACCAGGGACTTTCCAACCTGGTGACCTTCTATACCTGGCCGAAGGTCCTTACTCTAATCTTGTATGCCTAACTGCCTACCACAGATACAGATTTAGATACAGAGATAGAGACATATTTAGCACCAACATGTAATGTCCTGTGCGAAGTGAACTAGGAATACAGTAAAAATTTAACATACGGACCCAGTACTCAAGTTGCTTTGAAACTCTTTAGGAATATAAAACAAAACAGTAATATGACAATAAAACAACAACCAGAAAAATATAACATTTCGAACTGGAGTAGACCAATTAAACATCAAGCCTTGAGTAGCAATACAGAACTGAAACAGCAATTCAATGGAAAATTGTTGGGTCAATAAGCCAGTACCCACACAAATACGTTTTCTGTCTATGCCACATAGCTACCACTTAGTGCATGCCACCTTCTTCAATCCTTTGTTATGTATGTCCTCTCTCCTGTAGTACCACTTAGGGCCCTCCAGGTAGAGATGATGTCCCAAACCTCTTTATATTACCAGCACTTAATAGAACATGTGTTCCCAATTTACTATTGATTCGTAAAAGTGAGCACACAGGACATAATCTGCTTGGCAAGAGCTTATCAGGTAATTTCCCATCAACAATATTAAAGATCCATGTAGGAAGTAGCATCTAAGCCCAAGCACAGTGGCCTGCAAGTAGAAGGACCTCGTTAGCACATATTGAGCTTTATCAATTCATTCAATAGGTATTATTTATTGAAAGTCTATCTAACCCACTCAGGGTTTTTCAGCACTTAATTTTTCACTTATATTTTCTCACAACTATGATCCTGGAAGGGAAGTACAGCGCACAGTAATGAGATAATTTACCTAAAGTCACAGTAGCTGAACCAGGATTCAAACCCAGGCAGTCTGCCTCCAAGTCTGTGCTCTTGACTACTCCATCACCTGACCTCAACAAGGGAATGCCCAGCAGCCTCCCTCTCTGCAGTCAGGGGACTCTCCCTTGCATTATTTCTTGCAGAGTTGGACAAAGACAGTTCCAAGGTGTAATGGGATGTATGGGGCATGTGGTTTGGGGCTTTACCCTGATCTAGCACTGATATGCTTAAAGGGATTCAACTTTAAATAATATGAATCAATCTTGGCCAACATTTCCTTTTTCTTTGAGCTCCTGGAGGACCTTATAATATTCTCTTGTCACCCACTGCCCTAGATTTTCATGGAAGATGGTATATGTGCTGCACAGCAGGGCAGAAATACTTGACCAGTAACTCAAGCAATGAATGCAAAAGTCTGGGGAGAATACTGTTCTCACTTTAAATTTATGAGCAGACTTTTCTGTTTTGAATATAGTTGCAGTAATTATAAAAGTATGATTAACAACAGTTCTCATATAATTTTCTATTTCCTCATTAAGCCCACATTACACTTGGTTATATGTACAAAGAAAAAAAATGGGTCAAATTTATATTATTAACAGTCATCAACTTACAAAGGAAATAGTAACCTAGGGCAGGTTTTCTTATTTAAAATTAATCTTTGCTTGAAATAACACATGTAGAAATTGCTCTTAAACATGGCTTTAATTTGAGTAATAATGAATGTACTTAATAGTATGTAAAATTGGTCGCTGAAATTGTACAGTGGGGAAAAAAAACAAAGGCTAGTTGTTTCAGTTCCTTGAAGGTAAAATGTTTAAGAGGAAAAAATAATCTTTCCTGATACTAGTCCTACAATTGACACAATATATGCTGCATGAAGATGTCAAAACAAAATGAAAAAATGTCTCCTGTCAGTCCTTATTCTAGAACAAATGTTGGATGTATAAACTCATATTTGTGCCTGTACAACCAATCAGGATATTTAGTCTATTTCCATATGTATTTTATTGTTTTTATACATCCTTGCACAATTTCAATTACATTCATTTGTTTCCATGTTATAATTCAAGAAATTAACAAAAACGTTTTAAAATAACATAACAGAAGAAAAATAGTTATTAGACGACAATACATCTACCCTACATCCAAGCAATTCAGCTAACTTTTCCTTTTCATTTAATTTCCCCATTTCTGCCTCTACTCCCTTCACAGATACATATCTTGGTCCAAATACCCAGTTTCACACTGCCCTGGACAGTGTTGATCTTCTCTGAAGTATTTCCATGCATGTGCACATCAGCATAAGTGTGTGTATATATCAATTCCATTAGCACATACAGTTAATATACACTGAGTGGCCAGATTATTATGACCATCCCATCAGTACAATGAAGTGAATTAGTTATGTAAATAATAATAATAATAATAATAATAATAATAAAACCTTGAGAGTATTTGCTTAGGAAGTTTTCAATATTCAATATTTTTGGAAGTGTCAATGAAGCACTGATGGGGTGGTCATAATAACCTGGCCACTCAGTATATATGTGTGTGTGTGTGTTTGTATGCATATTTTCCCATGCTCTAAGCACATTGAGCACCAGATAGAAGTTACAATATAAGTTTGTCTTGTGATCATTAGTAAATCTTCCCCGTGAACACTCTTATGAACTGTCTATTGAGATATTCTGACATCAGCATATACTTTGTGGTATATGGCTAAGTCCATGATCAAAGACTAATACTGCTTGAAGGCAAAAAAAAAAAACCCCAAAAACCCTAAAAAACATACTTCCTAATACCAGCCTCATGATTAACACAATACATGCTATGTGTGGACTTCTTCCTTTCCACCACCAGTTTTGTGTCCTGGCAAACAGTTTTGAATTCTAAGGCTGGTAGCAGTGTGCTAGCGCTAGTGCTGAACCTGAAGCAAGGAAACTGGAAGGATGTTTCTGTGGGTTAAAATGCAAGTTGTACTATGGCATAAGGCATTTTCACACTAATTGTCAGTGACAGTGGGAAAAAGTCAGTTTAGGTTTGGTGGAAGCCCATTACTCATGTGAAAGGTATCAGTGCCATTGCCGAAACATGGGAGGACTAGCCAGTAACTGTAAGGATGGTGGCTGGAAGAAACTATGACTAAATCTACTGTTAGAATTCATCTTTCTTTTCTTAATTCCATAGATATGATTTGCCAGGAATATATGCGTTAAACTTCGTTTTAAAAAATTCCCTCGGTGGTGGAGGCACTGCCTCCCTGAGAAGTGACCCACAGGTAAGCATCTAAACATTGAACATTTTCTTTGTGTCTGTTTCCTGTGTTGCGTTGACATAGCCTGTATCAACAGCATCCTATGAACCATAACACATACACTAATACTACCGAGCTCTCAGTTCAGAAGGGGGAAGAAAAGAATTGTAAAATCTTTTCAGATAACTTCTTAGTAAAACATCATTATCTTCATTTTAATGAGTATGACTTTAGAGGATCTGAAGATCATATAGCAGAGAGAACACTTAGTATCTCGACATTTAAGAAAATAGTTTATGACCTGATTTCGAAGCTAAAGATTATTTGGCATTCTATAGTTTAAGGAGAGCCATTACTTGAAGTAAAGAAAGTTATCTTTCTATCATGGTCCAGAAACAGCTGAAGCCAAGTACTACTATGGAATTGGGTTGAAATTTATCTGAGTCATCTTAGGAAGGAACTCAAATTAGTAACTTAACTCAGTCCACCGTATCCCTTAGCCTTCTATATTGCCTGTTATTTAATCCATCCTTTGAATCATCTGAAACTCATGAAGTCATCCTAAGCTATACAGTAGCCATTGGATAAGGGGAGAATTGTAAAGTTAATAAAAATATCTCACATCTTCAGCTATGTGTCTTATCTAAGCCAATAGCCTGTAGGCATCATTGATTAAATGAAATCACTAGCAGGAAAGAGATACTTCAGTTCCTTTATATGTTCAATTTACTGTGATGTTTTTCTGTTTATTTTGCTCTGTGATTCTTATTATCACCTTAAATTTTTTCTCTCTATCATATTCTTATAACTACTACATTCCTATATAAACATTGAGGGTTTCTGATTCGGGAACTGTATATCCTTTGTACACATTAACCTTTTTTCATTTTGTTCTTCACATAGAATTCATTAGCTAGTTATACACTTTACTTGTTATACAAGTAACTGTGTTCCTTCAGTATGTGTTTTTAAAATTTATTGTCATTATCTATCTATATAAAAGGCTAATATGCTAAGTGTTCAACCGTCCAGGTAATGACGTCAAGTAGCAACACCTGGCTTCCTCTCCCTAGAGACAACTAGCTTCAGGTGGAAACACTTTACACTGTAATCAAATGTCTGTGAAGCATTTTCCCATGCCTCATCTCATTTGATCCTCACAGAAGTCCTGGAGTAGGTAGATAGGAGACTCGGAGGAATCTATTTTCTTTTCATTAGCCAGAAAACAGAGATTTAGAAAGCTTAGAAACTTGACCCGACTGAAAAGAAGTAAGAAATGGTGGACCTTGAGAATGACTTCAGGTTTTCTCACTGCAGAGAATATAGTCAAACACTGCTATATTTTACCCTTTATTCTCCCTGCATAATAATACAGTTATAATAATAATGTGCTTCGTGTTGTTATTTACTGCTGTGTTGCTGACAATTATCTGAAAGAGAAGTTGGGGTGCTTCACTGGGCTGGAAAAAGTTTAGCTACATCAGAAAACAGGTCTAATTAAGCAAGTTTGTTCTATATCTATAAAAGGCTAAGTTGACTCACGCATGCACGATACATATAAAGCTCTCGCTGGCGCCAATTGCATGCATGTTTTTCGATCTGTCATTGTCCATCATGAATTTGGTTATTTTTGTTGACATTCTGAAGCTGAAAGAAAGTGGCGGCATTGCACAGAAGTAACAGTGGCGATTAAATATGATCGTAATAGTGATCTGGGTAGATATAATTATCCCCATGTAACCAAAGTTGCCGTCATATTCAGAAGTGAAGATGGGGGACCTCCTTTTGAAAGGGACTTGCTCATTCATTGTAAACCAGATCCCAATAATCCGAATGCCACTAAAATGAAACAAATCAGTATGCTGTTTCCTACATTAGATGCAATGATGTTTTCTATTATTTTCCCACATGGTGAAAAAGGCTGGGGAACGGATATTGCATTAAGACTCAAAGATGACAGTGTAATCGACAATAATGCTAGATTGAATGGATGATTCCAAAAAGGAAAATTTTCCCATTGAATTTCTTAAAAGTACTACTCCTTCAGGAATGCCATGTCATAAATTAGAATTGAAAGTAGATGCAATCATTATGCTACCCAGAAATCTTAATAGTAAATGAAGTCTTTATAATAGTATTAGATTTATTATCAAAAAATTGTGACCTAACATAATCGAAGCTGAAGTATTAACAGGATCTGCAGAGGAGAGGTTGTTCTGATTCCAAGAATTGATTTGTCCCTGTCTGACACTGGCCTCAGTGTTAGAATAAGTTTAATCAATGTAGCAGTCATTGTTTTTATCAGTGTTGTTTTTATATCATGTCTTTGTTGTTATTGTTTATTAATCAATTTATATATTATTTTCATATACATTTCACTAGTTTTCTTTCATCTCTGACACTTCTATTATAAAGGGCGAATAGCGATATTAAAATATTTCTTCTAATTTCCTTTCAATGTGCATGAATTTGTGCACCAGGCCACTAGTTTTAAATAAAATCTTATTTACCCAAATTATTTATATAGAAATCACTTTTTAAAATGTGTGATATTAACATTAATAATAATAATAGAATTCTTTTCACGCTCAGTACTTTTCTGTTTGATTTGTTCAACAGGGCAAAGCACTTGGACAGATGGTACTGGACATCCAGATAAAAGATGTTCCTGATTTAAAGTCATTAGTAGGTGGCTGAAAGAGTGTCTGCTTTGGGAAACCTATTCTTAGTACAAATGCAAAATTGAATAGGAGATAAAAGAATATAGAAAATATGCATTGAAGCACACACCAGCTAGGTAAATTGAATGCCAGCATTAAAAATGTGGTGACTACAGGGAAGAAGAGAATAGGTGATTTTTTAAAAATATAGAACAGATATATCCTTTAGGCATTTGATGATGTTCTTTTTTCTGTCAAGCATCTACTTTAAAAACTTGGTAAATTGTGATTTAATGATATATTCACTTTTAGATTATCTCTGATCCCCAATGCCAAGCTGGGATAATCTTATGTGTTTGAAGAGCATCTTTCTCTCCTTTTAAATGTTTTAAAAAATCATATTACCTATTCTAAACAATTTTTATACATAAGCATACAAATTAAGTTCAGGTTCAAGGAAGCAGTCTATTAATTAGTTAGAAAATTTTAACACATTTGCAGTATTCTCACACTGAATTAGGAAAAATAGAAAATATCTGAATATTTTATCCTCAGTAGGAAAAAGTTTGAAAAATTAATGACACAATGTCCTAATACTTTGAACTCAAATTAAATTCAAAGTTTGCTATGCAACTAATTTTCAAATGTTAGTCCAGGTGACTTTTAACCACTTTTAATTAACTATCATTATTTTATGTTCCATGGTAAATAGTATGGTGATGATTTTGCAGTGAGTTGATATAATAAAAATTGTGATTATAGTTTTTAATGAATTACTCTGATGAGCCTGATTTTCCCTAGATACCCTTATCAGCACCCCACCACACCCCTAATTTAATACTAGAGATTGACATCAGTAAGTGAGAGCCTATTGTCACCTAACAAATGAAGAAGAAAAAGATCAAGCTTCTAGGAACATGCACATAAAATTTAATGTAAATAAATGCTCCAAATAGGAATGGAATGAAAAACTCATTTTTTGTTTAGATTTTTACATAAGCAAATGACCAATATACATGCATGAATTTCTTGAAGCATCTATGTGAACTTTGCCAACTGGCTGAGTTTGGGAGTTGTCTTCTGTAGAGTCTGCAGCACAAACTTAAGGCAGTACAATCTTTTTGACTACAACTTCCAAAAGTTTCTGGAGCTACGCTTTGTATCTGCGTTCTCCCTTCCTGTCTTAGAGGAACAAAAGTCCTTACTCATCTCCAGTTCTAACTCTCCTGTAGTTTTGATGACGTTGCTTCCCAACTCTTCTGAGACTAACTTCCATCAGCTATCCTATTTTTCTTTGCTATATATTTTTCTTCTCCCCTAGTTTCCCGCTATGTACATATATTCTCATGTGGTCCCCATTTAAAACCAACAAAAAGCAAATGAACTACAAGACATTTTTCATTTGGTCCTCTCTCCTTTCCTTTACTGCAAACTTTTTGAAAGACTTGTCTCCATTTTGTCTAGACCTTCCCTTTGCCTGACTCTTACTCTGTCAACCTCAGCAAACTGGCTCTGTGAAACTACTCTGGCATCTTTCCTATTGCCTAATCCATTGGTCCCTGCACCCTCTTGCTAACTTGTCTGCATTTGACACCACTGAACATGCCCTCCTAGTACAACTGGCTTCCTCAAGCACTTCCTCTCATTCCTCCTCAAGCACTTTGGCAACTCCTTAGTGCAGCCTTTATGCGGAGCTTTGTTTGGCTGCCTTCTCATCCCGTTCTCTGTGCTATCCTTACGCAGTTTCATCTACTCCCAAGGTCTGAACTACCGACCCAGACATTTATGACTCCCAAGTCTCTATCTCTTGGCCAGACTCCGCTCTAGAGATCTTACTTTATCTATTTGTGTACCTGTTACCATCCCTAGCTAGGAGAGCACAAGGAACTCAGAAATGGTTGAGCATATTTAGCTGGGAAGCGGAGGCCTCTTTGCATCACCAGGAAGCTACAGCTTCACACCCCAAGAAATGGTAGCATTGTCCCTCCAAGGGCATTAACACTCCTCCCTTCCCCCTCCAGTACTGGATTTGCTGGGGGCGAGGGGGGGCGGGAGGGAGGGACAGGAGTTAAGGACATGCACAGTAGAAGTCAAAATGGCACAGGGAGAGGTGCTGGGCCATAGAGGCCTGTCAGTATAACCTGGGAAAATGATCCTTGGCTAGGGGGTGCAAGCCCAATGCAAGCTCTTGAAATCTTGGGAAGAAGTTAATCGGTTATTTTGAAAAAGCTCCTTGTTAAAACCCCAGGACAGGGGTCCTCAAACTACGGCCCGCGGGCCACATGCAAATACAAATATTGTATTTGTTCCCGTTTTGTTTTTTTACTTCAAAATAAGATATGTGCAGTGTGCATAGGAATTTGTTCATAGTTTTTTTTTTTAAACTATAGTCCGGCCCTCCAACGGTCTGAGGGACAGTGAACTGGCCCCCTGTTTAAAAAGTTTGAGGACCCCTGCCCCAGGAGAACCAAGCTCTCTCTCTCCTGCTAGGGACCTGCACTCACCTCCTGCCCTGCGTTAGTGCCTTCTCACCATAGTAACCTGTGGCCTTAGCAGCTGCTGTGGCCACTGGCTGGGCAGACTCCAGTTGCAGGCTCCAGGTGGGAACCTGGATACCACAGCACAGCAACCTATTGCAGCTGTGAGCACAAGCTAAGCTAGCTGGATGCTGGAATGAACGAAGCTTTGAGATGGCACAGGCTCTCTGGACATTGACTCCCTTTTGGTCCTGATTTTCCATGGAGAGATGGGACATTGGGGAACTCCTTTAATTTTGCTTCCTGAATAAATCATCCTCTCTTGTGGGTCCCTGGAAATGTGTTTCCTCATAACACTGCAAGAACCTCACTTCTATCAGCAACATCCCCACTTTGAAAAGCCATAGACTTCTGATACTCAACATATCCAAAAGTTGAATTCATTTTCTTCCTCCCATAAACCTATTCCTACTCCTACCTTCCTTCCCTCAGTTAAGGGTTTTACTGGTTGTGCAGCAGGGAACTTCAGAGTCATCCCTGGTCCCACGTTACTCCTCTTTCCACTCCTACCACCACCATACATCCAGGCCACCACATCTTGCCAGTGTGTCTCCAGAAATATCTTTTAACTTTTTCCCATGCCCCGCCATTTCATTTTCCATTGGTTAGTCTTTCTCATCTCTTACCTGGACTGAGTGGCCTTTTAATTGGTCTCTGCTTCTAGTTTCTCTCCCTTCTCCCACCAATCCATTCTCTACCCTGCCTCTGAGCTGCTTTGGATCATCTAATTTCCCTTTTCTGGTGGCTTTCTACTGCCTACAGAATCTCTGCCCCCTTTATATTACTGCTGCCTTAATTAACAAATAACTTATAGTAAGCTATATTCATTTTGGTCATGATTTTTCACATTATGAAATATAAATTTTTGTTTTGCCCAGTGTTCTTATTTTACTGTTTTGGGGGCGGCGGGGGTGGTGGTGCCCCAACTGATTCCTGTCTGGCTGGAGCTGCAGCCTTTAATCTTTCCAAAGACAATAGGCAGGATTGAAGCCCTCAAAATAAGGTGCTAGCCAACCAGGAAGCTGGGGAAATCTTCCTCCCAGGAGGTAATTGATTCCTGTTAGCCTCGCATTCCAGGCAGCACTGAGCTAGGAGGCTGCAGGGAAAGGAGTCTGCGCTTTTTCCTCTGCTTCCTGAGGGAAGTTCACGGAGTCTTTCCCCCTACCTCCTTAGAGCTAGCTAGTTTGGGCCTCTGTTTGTGCCCTGGGGCCAGACCCTAGTATATGTAAACAAAAAGAAGAAACACCATTGTTAAGATTATCATTTTTTATGTGCTCAAGGATTTAATAGTCTAAAAATGATCTAAGAACAACAACCATCATCTTAAGGGAGGACAATAATGTAAAAACGTAAGTTTAGGAAATCAAATGTGTCAGGCTTAGGACCCAGGGGGAAGAAGGTCTAACAGGTAAGTAAGAAGTCTGGGACACAGCCCTGGTTTTGCTTCTGACTCTGTGCCCTTGGGCAGTACGTTGAACTGCCCCAGATTCCTGTGTCTAAGGACAGTGTAGGACAGTGATGGCGAACCTCTGACACGCGAACTCATTTTTTTGGTTGATTTTTCTTTGTTAAATGGCATTTAAATATATAAAATAAATATCAAAAATATACATCTTTGTTTTACTATGGTTGCAAATATCAAAAAATTTCTATATGTGACACAGCACCAGAGTTAAGTTAGGGTTTTTCAAAATGCTGACACGCCGAGCTCAAAAGGTTCGCCATCACTGGTGTAGGACTACTGGCCACTCAAGTGCTGGGAACTTCCTGATGAGGGCGTCTTACAAGACCGTCCTATTGTAGTAAAATCACTGATGTTAAAAACTGGCCCCGAGGGTATTTGAGAAGCAGGGAAACGAAGTCTAAATTAAAAGGTATGGGACTCAAGTTTGAATTTCCTGGGTTGGGCACAGCACCTGGCAGGCAGCAGGTACTCAATATTAACGAGTGGATGACGTGTCTGAACTGATGGAAGGTCAGGCCCTCCCCAGTGGTGATGGACCTGGGACAGGAAACCTGTGGCTGAGTCCTGATCCACACTAACACGGGGGGCAGAAACAAAGTTATAAGCCTCATTTTCTTCCCGTGTAAAATAGAGGTGACACTTTACAGAGTTATGAGGATTTGTTCTGTGCCTCGCAAGCACACAGGAAACACATAATATTGTGGTCATATCCTCCATTTCAAAGCCTTCTCCGAGGAACAGGGAGGCTGCAGAGGTAAAGAGTCTGTCGGTGGGAAATCCATTAGCCTTCCAGCCTTCTGCTGGACTCCGTCCGTATCTTGTCCCTGCGAGCGAGCAGAGACCTCTATTTCAGCCTGCTTACCACAGAGACCCAGCGGAGTCTTGGCCTGTGCAGCTGGGAGAAATGGACCTGGGCCTGAGAACCGCCGCTGGGAGGGCCCAGGGCCAGGGCCCCAAGCACAGGTCAGGATGTTGCTGCTGCCCTGGTTTTCCGCAGGGCTCTGGAGAAGCGGTGGTCCAGGTGAGAGTCTGCTTTTCAGTGCAGGGTATGTATGTGTTGACCGGGAAAGCCTCTGTTCTTTCAGAATCACCAGACCCGGAGACCCGTTCATGTCCATTTAAGACGTTTGCACATTGAAACTTGAACAAGGCCCTTCATACAGTCTGGGAAACAAGAGGTCTTCTTAGCAACCAGGGGGATTCTCCTCTTCCCAAATAACCAGTTCTGGTTCAGGAAGGAGAACTTTCTAATGTTAGATTTCTCTTAGGCACTTCCTTCTAACAGCAGTTGTCTTCCCATAGTTTAGTTAAAGTCGATGCAGGCTGGAAAGTATTAGTGAAAGTGGGAGCCTCTTAGTGAGTAAACGTATTTTTATGAAGGCTTCCCCTAGGGAGCCATCAAAACCTGACCCTCAGCCACAGAAATACATGGACTCTGAGGACGTTGAGAACTTGCCTTTTGCAAGGTTACACAAATTGTTGAAGAACAGGGAAGGAGAGGACAACCAGTTGAGCCGACAAGCGCTCCTTTGAGGTTCTATTTTCAATTGAAAAGTAGCCTAATCCTCACTGACTCCTCCCTGCATAAGAGGTTCCAAAGAAGACAAAGGACGTTCTGCTGCCTCCTCCTCCGGGTTACCCCGAACCGAACTCTAGGCAGGCGAACTCTAGGCAGGCGGGGCGGGGGAAATGGCTGTTTTGGGGCAGCTTCAGTGAGAAATAATAATAATAATAATAATAATAATGGCATAACACTTTGACTTAAGAATTG